GTGATGCTGGTACCGACGGCTTGAAGGGCCGCGACTGCACCGATGGCCCTGCCGGTACTCCCGGACGCAAGGGCGCCAAGGGCCGCATGGGTGTTGACGGCGACGGCGGTGACAAGGGCTACAAGGGCCGCGATGCGAACAACGGTGTCAAGGGTCGCGATGGTCAGCCCGGTGAGGATGGTCTCCCCGGCTTTGTCGGTCCTGCCGGTAACAAGGGTATCACTGGTCGCCCTGGCCGTGATGGTGACATCATGCCCGACGGTGATAAGGGTCTGCCTGGTCCTTCTGGTGAGCGTGGTCTCCCCGGTGACAAGGGTGACGACGGTGCCCGTGGTCTGCCCGGTTTCGACGGTCCCAAGGGTATCAAGGGTCGCGTCGGTATTCCCGGCCGTGACGGTACTCCCGGTCGTGACGGTGCCAAGGGTCAGCCCGGTGCCATGGGCCAGCCTGGTCGCGATGCTGAAGACGGTGCCAAGGGTCAGCCCGGTTCCAACGCCGAGGACGGTCTGCCCGGCCCTGCCGGTGATGCTGGTCGCGTTGGCCCCAAGGGTCGCAAGGGTATGGATGGTCTCGATGGACAGCCCGGTGCTCCCGGTGCCAAGGGTGTTTCCGGCCGTCCCGGTGAGAACGGTCTGCCCGGTGGCCCCGGACCTCGCGGTCCTGCCGGTGATGAAGGCTACAAGGGTCAGCAGGGTGACATGGGCCCTGGCGGTGCCGCCGGCGGCGATGGTGCCCTCGGCCAGCAGGGTGATGTCGGTGACCAAGGTGATCGCGGAGACAAGGGTGACCAAGGCGAGAAGGGCCAAGACGGTGCTGACGGTATCGACGGCCCCAAGGGTCGCAACGGCCGTGACGGTGCCGACGGTTTCGACGGTACCGACGGTATCAAGGGTCAGGCCGGTTCTCCTGGTGACTCAGTTCCCGGACGCCGCGGTGACATTGGTTACAAGGGTCAGCCCGGTTTCCGCGGCTCGTATGGTGTCAAGGGTAGCGTCGGTCTGCCCGGTCGCTCCGAGCCCGTGCGTGCCTTTGAGACGGATGCCGAGTGGCGCAGCTTCAAGGCCGCCTGGGAGGCTGCCGTTGCCGACTACGACTCGTTTGATGGCTCCTGCGACGATGTCATGGACGACTTTGAGATGACCAAGGAGGACGCCAAGGCCGTGTATGATGACGCCGAGGAGTTCTTTGAGCACATCCGCAACGGTGCCGTTGATGTCGAGGATGTTGTTCGCAGCGCCATTGCCAAGTTCGAGTCGGACTACGAAGAGGACGCTCGCGATGCTTTCCAGACCGTTCAGGTGCGTCCCGTCCTTCCCCGTTCTATTCGCTGCCGTAGTCACTGATTGATTGGGTTTGATGTCGTCAGCTCACCAAATCTTGCTTGCTTGCTTGCTTTTGCCCGATAGGAATGGATCACCTCTCTGCGCAACTACGTGCGCTACTACCAGGAGCGCACGGCATAAGCCGCTTGCCCTCTACTCTACTCTTTTCACCAACATGGGGTGGAGTGCGGTGCTGCGAGCACTCGTTTCATTTGGCGTGGCCTGATGGTGCCGTTGCACTTGCGCGGCGACCGTTATGGACCGGCGAATGATAGGACGGAAAGAAAGCGTTGTGCGTCGACGGCGCCATTGTTTCTTGTGTTGAGTGTGTGACAGAGAAAAAAGACATTGGAAGACCTTTCTTCTCCTCCCTGGGAGAGACTCGCCGCCGCGATCCGCTCAGTCGAGTCGAGATTCGGCTTGGCGTTCTCCCAGTGGTGCATGCGGCTTCGCACCCATTTTATTCGTTTGGCGGTTTTCTTTCCTCTCTCTTTTTTTTGATGTGTTTTTTTTTTTCCAGCGAAGAAGAAAAGAAGCGTGTGGACGAGATACGCTTTTGTTCCGATGCATTTCAGTGTTTCTGTACGGGCGCGCCACGTCTCGTGTGCTCTCTTCCCACGTGTGTGCGTGCTTCGCCTTGCCATCTTTTGATCAATTGACGATGTTTTCTCATTGTTCTGAATCGACCCCGTCTTGGCTTTGGGAACAACGAGAAACAAAACTATCCGCGAGGTTGCGTTCCTTTTCATGGTTTGGGAACCTCTGCTGAAGCAGCCGAGCCACCCTGGGCCACAGCGCGCCCGGACAGATTGCCGGTGAAGCTGCTTGATGCTTTATCCTTCCTCTTTTCGTGCTCTTTAGAGTTCACAGAGAGTGAGAGAATAAAAAAAAAAAAAAAAAAAACTTGAAAAGGAATCGATTTTCGGGTTTTGGGTGCAGCAAAGCAGCGCCAGGTGGCCGAGTTTAGCTGACGCGGCGAAGGTGTACTGTGGTCGGATAACGAGCCTTGAGCTGCGCCCACTGCACGACCACGGCGTCTGCGAGACATGCATTTTTTGGGAGCCATGAGCAACATCATCGGGTTGGTTCAGGGGCAACATGGCATACGGCAGAAGAGCATACCAGCCCAGGGCAGTAGGAGTTTGGCCGTGAGGGAGAGCGTCACGACGCGGCATATGCTTTCGACGTAGATGACGCGCGTGTCAAGCAGGCCAAGAAACTGCCATCATGCGAGACGACATGAGCCGTGGTCAGTGGCAGGTCATCGCAGCATGCTCTATGTGCAGATGGCAAGGGCTGGGTGTTGATCGCAAGGGGGCGAAGCGTTGTGCACGTACTCGAAAGCCCAGCACGGCAAGGCAGAGGGGAATACAGGTACCGGGCCCATTAATAAAGAGCTTGATCACGCACGCGAGAATGCAGAAAGCAAAGGGTGAGTGTCGACATGGCCCGACTAGAGGAGTTTTGTGGCAACCGGGACGTGATCTGGGGGCAGGGAGCGCTTGAACCTTACAAGTTGGGGTCGGGTTTTCCAGACGAGAAGGATGGCAAAGAGCAGGGCGTAGAGCGTGGAGGCAATGCTGGTCACATAGGACTGACCAACTTCGCGAGCCCGGGGGGTGAGCAGGACGCGCTGATGCTCTTGACTTTTCTATGATGGTGGGCCAGGGAGTGTGGGAAGGCAGGGCATGAGCTGCTTCGCATGCGATCCGTGGGAAAAGGCTTGGGATCAAGGCCTACCGGATCGTGTTTGAGGAGGCGCCCAAGACTCATGGCATCAGTGGCGGCAATGACGTAGTGGATGGGCTCGAGGGCGTGAGAGGGAAAGCCTTGCAGGAGGCGGATCATTTCTGTGGTGTGGCCACCTAGAATCAGGGCCAGAACGTCGGAAGGGTAAGCATGGGCGGTCAAAGAAGGTGGCATCAGGCCAAATGCAGAGGAGAAAGACTCAAGGGGCGGTGCTCGGGCAAGACTTTGCGAGGGAGGTTGCGGTGCGCGTGCCTGATCCGAGGACGGTGAGGGTGCGGATGGGCGCATCCGACTGTTTTTGCGCATCAATGGCTGCCGACTCGAGTTCATGGGCCGCAAACCGTCTGCGTGTGACATAATACAAACGGCCCACCACCAGCACCAACAGAAGGAGCAGGGAAAGGGCAAGAGCGGGAAGAGAAGGCAACGGGAGTCCGCCGCCGGCGCCGGCGCCGTCGCCGACAGCGGGCGTACCCGCCATGACCCAGGGGTTGGTAGTAAAATACTAAACTATGTGGTATGAAAAAGTATTTTATGATAGGGGTTATAAGGTGTTTAACCTTGCTCTCAACTTGGCTATTAGCATCTAGAATACATCTGTTTGGATTTAAACCAAGTAAAATACATAATATTGCCATGTTACCAAACGTAGTTTAGAGCACGAGCGGTCAACTTTTTTTTTTTTTTCCGGAACGGACTTGCACTTGGTAGCACAGGCGAAGTAACAAGGGGGTAGAGGTAGATGTTGTGGTGAAGTCGTGGGTCAGAGATATGGTATCAGTCAAAGTTTTTCATTGTTACATCAAAGGAATAGATCAAGCTGATTCAGAGAGTAGGGTCTTCTGGTGACCAGACGGCAGAGACGCACGCTGTTGTTCAGCTTGGTGATATCGTTCCGGCACGTCTGATGTGCGCGCTGACGAGCTCGCTCATCGGTGCGTTGGGTCGGTGCTCGTGGCGTCGGTGCTCGTGGCGTGTGAGGAAGCCCAGCAGGGATCGGGATCTGGCAGCTGTTTTAGGCATTTTGTCGCTGATGCATAGGCGTCAAGATACTCGGGCGCAGGGGAGGTGCAGCCAAAAGGATTTCCATATGAAGCGTGATCAGTGCCAATTCGTCGCGAGCAAGGTCGTGCTCATGCAAAAGGGCGATGCAGAGGCCGATCCGCTTGGAGCAACATTGAGGGGCAATGATGCATGTGACGCAGCGTGGGATGCAGAGAGTCGGCGGTAAAGGCCACGTCGGCGGCAGAGCAGCCCGACCAACGCTTTCCGTCCGAGTTTGTGGCTTCTATGGAAACTCGTCGTCGAGGTCAGCATCTCATGTTGTACCAAAGACGAACGGGGTAACTGCGACAGTACATGCGCAGACAACGCAGAGCATGAAAAGCTAGCCCACGGCTACACTGGCAGGCAGGACGCCACCGACACCACGTCCCACCACGCCGGCGGAGCTGCCCGTCGCCGGGGGAGCTGCCATAGCAAGCCCGTCACGGTCGCACCGTCTGCAAGAGTATTTGTAGTTACTTTATGACTTAATGCAGATTTACTAATGGATATAAGCTTAGCTTATGTAGTAACATATCGACTACTTGTCGTAGCGGACTTTCATTTGATACTACACAGTAGTTGTTGACGTAATTTTATACAGTAGTAGTAAGGTATTTGTAGATGTCATAAGGGATGTAATAGAAGTTATTGCAGCTGTCCATGTAGTTGTTGTAGCTTTGTTTCGCTTCATTTTTTTGTACAGTAAGTGAGAGAGCGTGCGCGCGCTCGGAAACGGCAGCGCCGCCCCCACCCCCTCTCTTGATATGGGCACGAATGCGGGTACAAATGGCTCCGTATGCGATACAAACCGGCTGGATACTGGCTGGTACAACCTCCTCTGGTGCCTGGTACTTGTGCTTGAAGCCTTTGGGGCACCGCTTGTTGTTGTTGTTGTTGTTGTTTCTTGGACACTTGAGGCCCAAATGGCAGTCGACGTGACCATGAGCGGACGAAGACCCAAGACTCGGTGCCAATGCGCCCCGCGCTTGGCCTCGGCGTCTACCTCTATCTTCGTCTCCATGTCGACATGTTGTCCTGTGCCTGTTTATCCCTCTCTCCGCTCTCTCTCTCTCTCTCTCTCTCTCTCTCTCTCTCTCTCTCTCTCTCTCTCTCTCTCTCTGTCTCTTTTTTT